AGTAGTAGTAGTAGTAGTAGTAGTAGTAGTAGTAGTAGTAGTAGTAGTAGTAGTAGTAGTAATAGTAGTAGTAGCAGTAGTAGTCATAATAATAAAAATAATAATAATAACAATACTATCAGTGATAATAATAGTTCATCCGTCAATGTCTGACGATGACCAATACACCCACAGAGGACAAAAATTCTCCAACGAAATGAAAACCTGATGCCACTGTGTTCACCCATAGCTGAAGGAATTTTATGAGGATAGATGACAAAGAAAAGGGAAATGACAGATAAAAGCAGATGTTTGACTTGTGAAAGGTTTGTTTACAGTGAGAAAGAGCAAACATCAGATTCCCTCTCTTGCCTCGGCACAATATATCGGATGGCAGGATAGAGACAAGACGACCAGACTGGTATCTAGGTGCAGGAGGTTGTCAGAATGCCATCCATATTGAAGGGCAGACTGTATAGAGGTACTGCCAGAGCCTTACAGTCCCAGTTAACTTCATTTTTTGGGGGCCTAGGCCAATAACATACTTGTAATACTCTATCGTTGCTCCACGCCGTAGCGACCAGGCCAGTATGAACAATGTATGACAGTAGTGTTTTTCCGTGTGTGTGTGCCAGCCTGTCCGTTCGAAATGTTTGGAGCCCCGTAGAGCGTGCTCTTCACCAGGGCGACGGCCTCTCTTGGATAGCGGGTGAAGCAGTCCAACCTCCCCGAATTCTCTCCAAAGAGGACCAAAGAGGTGGGGCATCTCTGCAGCAATGCTCCAAATCTCGCTGCACAGTGGACATATTAGATCCGATGTTTTGTCTATTCTATTTTTGTAGGCCGCAGCCCAAAGAAGTGACCAGTCCTGATTTTGCCAGTAGTGATTTGTCACTGTGTGACTTAATTTGAGCCTCTCTTTTTAAGGAAATTGCCTTGTATATTTCCTCCGTCCGTGAGTGGGATATTGGAGGGTCTTTTGCGATCAGTTTTATCTGTAGTAGAAGTAGTAGTAGTAGTAGTAGTAGTAGTAGTAGTAGTAGTAGTAGTAGTAGTAGTAGTAGTAGTAGTAGTAGTAGTAGTAGTAGTATG